ACATTATTCCTGTGGGTGCCTCTGCGTAAGGAAAATACATCAATTACCTATTTTAGAAGAAATAAATTATTCAAATACTGGCAGTACAATGGTGGTATATTAATTAGGAAAATAATTAGGACAGACATTAAGAATATACCGACACACTGACCTAACTTGTAGAAGACTATAGAGGAACATATTTTTATTTACGTATGATGTTATGTATAGGGTAATAATACTCTTCGCTCTAAAAGATTTATTGTGCCCTTTCTGTCGTTAATGCCCTAAAGAAATAGTCTCGATGCCTTCTAATCCTATCTTCTGAAGGGAGTGTAGGAATCTGCATTATGCAATCTACTACTCTGTCCTTTGAGTCGGTAATGCCCGATATATTGATACCTATTATAATGTGTAGCCTGTTCGTGCTCAGGCCGATACAGGCTTCTGGTTATATTCACCCAACAGTATCTTTGCCTGTCTTAGCTCCAAGAGATTGTTCCAATTATCGGTTCTTTTACTGCCCAATTCTTTTTTAATCTCTCTATATCGTGTGACTACTGATACCTCAAAACAGTTTAGGTATTTGAGCCACTTTTCCTTGCGAAACTATAAGCAATCTCGTTACCATTTACCCGTTATGTCTCGGGACATAGGTGAGAGTAACTATATTTTCCTCGCCTAGAATGTTATTCATAATTACAATAACATTTATGAAATCAAGAAATACGAGATGTCCGTTTCATATTACATCGCATAAAATTAAAATAGAAAACTCAATGTTAACCAAGTCTTCATCTCGGAAACATAAACATCAAGGTGAATCTTTAGCCGTGAGTCAACTGAATTTAAAAATCACGGTTACGTAATAGAAAATCGATTTGAAATTGACAACAATAACATCTAATGGTTTGATTAAAAAATGGATGCTTTGTGTTTTATTTAATAAATTAATGAAAGGAACAGATCAAAATGCGGTGAACACGATAATATTATTAAATTGGACATCAGCAGAGAATATTTCGTTGGGAATTTCCGTAAACTATTCAATACCATTAACATACCAACAAAGACATCGTTCTTCTCGATATTTTAAAGGAAGATAAGGACATAAAATAAAAAAAATCAATAAAAAAACTGATAAACCAAAACTATAGAACAATAATTAAGCATTTTTGATTCATTATATTTGCCAAAAGAAAATAAAAATATTGAGTCGTCAAGTATACCCGTATCCCATGCCATATGATTTAGTAAAACAAACAATTTAATGAAAATGGCCGTTCTTAGTGACTTTTATGACAACTTGAACATGAGTTATGTCGACAAAACTAGAACAAATAGATAATAACATATCATTTAGTAATTAAAAATGATAGTTTAAAAAGGAAAAGATAGTGAAATATGTTGAATACAATGCGCTTAGAAAAACTGATAGAAGTAGAAAAAAACATAAAATAGATAAAGAAAAAAAGGTAATAAGACCTTAGTATAACTTGGACTATTTTGAAACTCGTTTTTTTTTAAGAAAACAAAGGCCGATACAGAACAAAATCATCGAAAGATAGTTAAAACAGCTAGCAAATCATGATTCTACGCAAGAAAAAACTCCTAAAAAGAGACTACCTAAGTAGATGATGGGAAACTTGAGAAAATGTTCCGTTTTTCCCATATTTGAAAAAAAAGGAAAATAACAACGTTGCAATATTTCAACAATATACCTGCGCGCTTCGCCAAAAAGGCAATAGCGACAGTGGGAATTATATAATTTCCCTAGAAACTCTGCTAAAATGGCAACGTCTGATTGAGCATTCGATATGGTGGACATCGTACCACCAAATGGGCACCAAAAGGACACTTCGTTATTATTAGTCCGATTCAATGACTGGAGGTTTAACGTGAAATGTCATGTAGATTTAATATTCAACTATAAAATGCGTAGCAACATGGTCATGTTGCCATTTTTTTGATTATTTTTCCCTAATTCTGGTCTTACTTACATGAGTAGAAGGAACCGAAGGGAGTATTACTATTATATCTATTGCATAACCTTCGTCGGAATAGAAACATACGAAGGTAGATACCTATGCTCCGCCTCTGATCTATTTCTAAAAGTGGTGGCTTGGGCTTAATTAATGTTTTTGTCAGTTAGTTAAATGACTTTCGTAGATCGTATCTACAAACTGTGAGTTCGAGTAGAAACTCAGGTTGTTCTGAGTTCATTGTCACGTTTTATTAGAAATTCAGAATGTGATCTGTGGCGTTCGATATGACTCTGAGTATGAACTCCGAGTGCACTCTTTTAACTCTTGTGTTAGAAGACCGAGATCTGTCGGGAAGTTAAATAATGAAATGTCAATTGTGTCAATGAACGGCACATATTATTTTTTTGTGAGTTTGTGCTAGGTAATATTTGTATTTTAAAATTATTTAACTCATATATATTATTATAGGTAAATTCTGAAAGTTTATTTTGTGTTATTCTATTGTAATGCCTAATAATTAACTGACCGTTAACTGACATACTGGAGTGAGGTAATGATTTTTACTCTGAGTGACAGAGCGCGTTCGAGATATAACTACATTCTCTCTCTGACTTGACAGGACTCTGTTCATGCCCTGCTCACTCGATAGGGCGTCATCTCGAACTTGCCCAAAATATCAACTTTGTATCTCAAAGCTGTGTTGTGCTGTGGTTAATTCTCAAACTGTGTGTCGGAATTGTTCATAAAAATGGATCCTAAGCCATAATAAAATATCTCCAGAAAAAAGACATGACGCCAACTCAAATTCATGAAGACATTGTGGCAACTATTGAGGAGTCTGCAGTTTTTTATGACATAGTCAAATGCTGATGTCGATATTTTAAATGCAGAAGCACATCCTGTGAAAACCAGAATGCTGGTGGTCCTCCCATAACGGTAACCACAGACAAAAACATTAAAAAGGTACAAGATATTACACTGCAAGACCGACGAGTACGTATCAGTGATATTGTGGAAGATACTGACTTATCATATCATGTGGTGCACTACATACTGACTAAAGAATTAGATATGAAAAAGAGTGCAATATGGGGGCCCCCAATGTAAATCATTGATCAAAAAAGAAACCGGGTATTGACTTGTAAGCGACTTTTGGAAAGGTACCAAGCAAACAAAGAGAACTTTCTTAGTCAGTATGTTACCATGGGTGCAACGCTATTATTCCGAGACCAAAACAAATAGTAAAGAGTGGAAACATCGCGGTTCTGCTACTCCATGCAAATTCAAAAAGTCGTGCTGCTGCTGAAAAAGTTTAGCTGTCTGTGTGGGATGCTCAAGGAATCATCCTGACTGACTATTTGCAGAGGGGACAGAGTATTACAAGTGCCTATTACGCACAATTGATTTCTAAATTGCGAGACTCTTTTAGAGAGAAGCGTCGAGGAAATTTAAGGAACGGTGTGCTGTTCCATCAGGATAATGCTCATAGTCATACATCTTGTATTTCGATGGCTGCTGTATACCAAGCAGGCTTTGAATTAGTGGAACACCCACCATACTTGCCAGATCTCGCCCCAAGTGATTAGAGACTGTTCTCCAAATTAAAAGTAAACTTACTTGGGAAAAAATTTCTAATAATGATAATCTGATGCAAGATGTAGAGAGGTGGTTTGCAGAGGTAGGACACAAATTTTTTCAGAAGGCTGTTGAGATACTAGAGCACCGATAAACCAATTGCATTAGTGTAGAGGGAGACTATGTCGAAAAATAAAAAATATAATACCACTGTACTTTTACTATCAGGGGTGAAACATAAAAATCCACCCTCGTAGTTTCTTAGGACAGGCGAATGATACCTTAATCATTCATTCCATGGAAAATGCAATACCATAGTAAATGCTACAGGTTCTGAGCTAACCTATTCTAGTTTTAAATATGTACAATGTCTAATGTTAAAAGTAATTGATTGCGGCATATAAAACGCGATGACACAAATCAAGTTAACTTGTTGAGTTGTTCTATTTGTTTTTCTAATTTCAAATTAATATTTTTTGAAAAAATTAATCAAATGTTTAGTGTCACTAGTGACGTACAAATATTGGTCAGCTTGTTGAGACAATAGGTATATGGGCGGGCAATAAGAATATATCGCACGGCAGTCTAAGATGCACATACAGGGTGTTTCAAAAAATATGTGCCAACGCGAGTAGGGTGATTTCTTTACCATAAATAAGACAAATAGTTCCTATCAAAATAATCAGAGGAAAAGTTGGAAACAATAGATAGTATCCAAACCTATAACAAGTCAATAAAGAGTTTGATAAGATTGCATCCACTAAACGATGCCGAAACCAAAAAAATATTAAATGGTACTTTTTATTAGTCATTTAAATACCCAATTGTGCTATCAAAAAGTAAAAAAGTCAGTGGCGTATATATATTTTTGCTAAAAATTTATAAAACCGCTCGTTCTCGTTTCTATGGTGAAATTGTTTACATCTTTATGTTGCTAAAATATATGCTTTTTTAGGTAAATTGTATAACCAAAATTTCATTAAAATCGTTAAAGCAGCTTTGAAAATATTTTGAAAAAACAGATAAATATTAAACTTGTATGCTTATACAAAACAAGATTTCAATTATTTATTCATTGTTCAATATGGATCGAAAGAGACTATAATTAAATTAAATTTAAAAGGTAATTATTTAACAAACTAAACTTCGAGGTTTATAGGGTGTCCCCATACAAACTTCTTTTTTAGAAAATAATAAATTAGTTCAATAACTGTTTTAAGTGTTACACTTACTGTACTTTTTTTTTTCATTTTCGTTATTTTTTTTCTTTTCATTTTCGTTATTTTTTTCTTTCTTACTTTTTTATTTTTTTTTAATGTTATTTACTTTTTTTTAACTGTTTATGCGTTATCCTTTTAGAAAAGGTAAAAAAGATATTTTCTGAATAGCTAAAAATAAAAAGGGCAACTTACGATCGAATCCTTATAACCACCACCAAAACTATACCCAAAAGTAACTCACCGTTAGGAACATTGGTTTGTTGAGATCGCCTTCCCCTTCTCTGATGACTCGGTTGGAGTCCCGGAGCAGAAACCGCCCTTTTAGGTATCGACGTTAACCGATTAAACCCCGGCGGTCTATAGCGAGCACTCTTAACATTCTGCGACAAAAAGTGATGACTCTGACTCTTCTGCATGATATTCGAAGAAACGGTCGTAGGAAGACGCGGCAAAGAGTTAGTGGTAGGAGCACCGCCCTGCAAACTCCTCGGCAAAGTCGATCTACTTTCAATATCCTCATCTTCGTCTTCTCCATCTGCAGAACCGCCCGAACCACAGGTCGCGTCTGGTACACTAGATCTTCTCCTATTCGGCCTTATAGCCGAAGCCACCCATAGTTTATCCTCACTATTTGCACCACCGATGCTGCCACAACTTCGCACTCTGTCTAACTGTTCACGACTCAAACTTTTGTGACTGAATAACAAGTCTCCGGCGGATCTTCTTTTGGCCGCTATCGCTAGCGCTGAAGCGGAAGCGGATCCTTCGCCACCTAGTAGCGATAGCTTGTTGCGAGAATCACTAGCGAGTAGAGCGGATTCGAAACTACCGCGCCAACTAAACCGTTCACAATCACTAGCTTCTTTTTCTTCGGCTACATCCGAAACTCCGCCAGATTGATGCAATACGCGAGACTCTCCCACCAATAAATCATGCGATCTACTTCTAGGAAGCAGGTTGTAAGGCACGTGGTTATCTTCACAGCCCATCATATCTGAGTATTCCGGATAATCGTCTTCTGTAGTTGTACTGGAAGCTGACGATATTTTATGCTGCAATCTCCTGTGATAATGCTTCGTTTTTGGTGAGTTACTAGCGTGACTCTCCCCACTAGATACTTCGTGCATTAAAGCTACTAACCGACTACCGATGTGATGCATCACTTTCGCTATCAAAGGAGGAGAGCTGTGGGGAGTTGCTGTCGGAGTAGTACTTTCGTTAGTATCTCCAGTCGCCATTTTCTCGAAAGAAGCCACCAGTTTCTGATAAACGAACGCTGTCTCTTTATTTATCCCATGAGACTCATCGATAATACCTCCATCACCTTCGTCTCCTTCATCGTCAATCCTATTATCGAATTTATTGATAATCTGCTTGCAGCTGTCGGATATCTGCTGCTGCAATACAGTTTTGGAAGTCGTTATTTCCAAATCGGAGCTAGTGTAATCGGAAGAATCGTAGGAATCGCTCCAAGTATCTTCGCTGCTCAGATACTCAACAATCTCTCTAACTTGATCCTCTCTAATACCCGGAACGGTTTTCATGAGTCTTGTCAATTCGTTTTCGAAATAAACCAATTGAGGTGGTTTGCACCGTTTGGCACGCGGACTCGGAAGACATTTGGCGGCGTTGCCTAAATTAGGCGTGGAAGGTTTGGAAGAAGCGTTCAATTGCGAATTGGCAACCATTGTCTTGAAGAATTGTCTCATTTTGCACATCATGAGATTGGTTTCTTCGTCTGAGCTCCAATTGTTGAAACTGTCTTTTCGCGTCAATGAAGTGGCAGGCGGGGCCGAGAGTGATATCACCTTTTCTTCTATCTTCTTTTCTTCGGTGATATCTTCTAGATCTGTTTTTAATTCGGATTTGAGGAACGTTGATATGTCTGGTGTGCTATTATCTCTTTGTTCGCGTAGCAGATCATCACAGCTGCCTACAAAACCGCTGTCTCTACTTTGTTGGTTCTTAGTTGTTGTTAAATTTGATATGGAAGTTTGGATTTCGGGTTGTGGTGTTTTGTTACCGTCTTCATCGGTTTCGCTGTCCTTTTCATCAATTTCTTGAGTGGCTTCTAAATTCTTGGATTCGTCAACCGACTGAGGATTCTTATTGGGTTTCTTGTTCTTCTTTCTCTTAACCGTATCAAATTGCCCATCTCCTTTTTCAAAACTGTTATTGTCATCGTAGTTTTCTGAATCAGAACTGGAAGAATCTTCAGAACTCATCTGCGTTTCTATTGTTTGCTCACTGATAGCATTATCTAAGTTATCCAGCGAGGATGAATGTGATCTGCCTGTGCCTCTAGCTCTTACTAGTCGTTTTCTTCTTTGTTCTGGACTAGGTCTTCCTTCGCTGTCACTACCTACACTGCCGTCTGAATCCCTTCTCTCAGCCGTGAATCCCATGAAGCCGCTTAAGAAATATTTTTCCAATCGAGAAGAGGCTAGTTCGGTTGGATCGGAGGTATCATTAGGAGTATGAGGATCTTCACTTCCACCGAGGGACTCCATTCCTTCGCTGTAGATGCTGCTAGTCTCGGAGAAGGCATCTTCTCGGTTGGACGGTAAAGAAGGCGCCATTCCATCACCCAGTCCGAAAAAGAAATATTTTTCTAAATCGGTAGCAGAAGCGGGTCGTTCTTTCTTCTTTGGAGCATTTTGTTCGACTTCGCTTTCTTCGCAACTCTCCTCGACGATGGTATGCAAAGTGAAGTCTATTGCTGTGCGATGATAGCCTCGTAGGTCTTCTTCATGGTCGATAGCGGCGGAGCAGGTGAGCGTCACCTCTTCACCGGAGGACGAATCCTCCGTTCCAGAATTAGTGGCGAACTCGTCTTCGTCCTCTTCCTCTTCGTCGTGGCTGAGATTCTCCACCCAGGAGTCGTCATCGGCAAGGCCTTCTTCGAACGCAGAAAGAGTATCGCCCCCAGTTATCACGGTCACGCTCTCTCTTTCTTGGTTTTGATTATCTGTAAGCAAAAGCGTGTCTTAAATACCATTCGGCGTAACGTATTTACTATCATTAGTTGCTAATGGATGGGGAAATGATGGTTTGCTTTTATTTTAATGTATAAAATGGCGAAAATGACGAGATGATCGTAATTAATTGCGGAGAAACTTTTACCGTAGTGGTAAAGCGGTCTGATTCAAAAGTTAATACTCATGCAGTTGCTTTGTTGCGTTTATACTTCGTTGAAAATGTAATTGACCTTGAACTAATTGGGTACTAGCTTTGCGATTTGTTGCTACATTTTTTTATTTCGTTAGTATTAATATAATATGAATATTTTTAAAATTTATAATAGTTTTGAGAGTATTATCGATTTATAACATTGTGAGAATTATTTATTTGTATGGAATTATATTGCAGTTCAGTGAACGTTTAGAAATTGTTGTTTTATCAGATGAAGCTTTAAAGTGTACATTTTCAATTTCATACAAATGAAGTTTATTATTGTTTAATTTATAATGTTATTACAATAATATAGGTCAATATTATAATCTATGGCGAAATAGTTATGTACCTAAATTCAAAAAATGATTTTTCACCTATGAAACACTACACTTTTACTACAGAGATAATTAAAAAAATACACGAGAATAAGGGTTTTTTTCTATTTTCTATAAGTTGTTAATTAAGGAGGTCCTTTCGCCACCAATGTTAAATAAAAAATATTAGATTATGACTAAAATTAATTTTTTTCTAATAGTAGATGTCCTTATTTATCTAATAGTGAACTTTTAACTATACCTTACCGTGCAAATTTTTGAGAATATTTTTTTTAAAAATGTGTGTATTTGTACAGTGTCTTATGAGAAAGTAAGACTTCAACAACAATTTTCGAATTAAAATTAATTTTACTATTATTTATTGATTAGATGGAGTAGAAAAAAACTAAAAATAAGGTTTTTGAAATATTTAGGTTTTGTTTTTTACAATAAAATATATAGGTTACCGTGGAATTTATTGAGAAATTATTATTAATAAATCACAAAAAATTTTCAACTAGGTTACTTGAAAATTTTTTGAGATTTTTTAATATTAATTTTTCAATAAGTTCCACGGTTTACTATATATATTTTATTGTATAAAACAAAATCTAAATATTTCAAAAACCTTATTTTTAGTTTTTTTCTACTCCATCTAATCAATAAATAATAGTATAATTCGAGAATTTTTGTTGAGGACTTACTTTCTCGTGAGGCACTGTACAAATACATTTAAAAAAAAAATTCTCAAAAATTTGCAAGGTAAGGTATAGTTAAAAGTTCAGTATTAGATAAATAAGGACTTCAACTATTAGAAAAAAATTAAATTTTGTCATAATCTAATAACTTTTTTTTTAACATTTGAGGCGAGAGGTGTGGCGAAAGGACCTCCTTAAATGATAATTTATGTTTGACAGTTTCTAAGAGATTCATGTTTTATGATAGTTTCAATCTTTTGCGTGAGTAAGAAAGATAGATAGATACCTCTAACTTATTTAAAAAAAAAAAAAATGTCAAGCGAGATTTTTCATGCACACCATATGAAATCACTGAAAAAGCGAAAATGTATCATCATAGTTATTATATTGGTCGAAGAACTCATATTGTATTTCTTGTTTATATAAAAAAATAAAGCAATGTTCTTGAATTGAAATAGTTTCTTGGTCGTAGTCAAAATAGTGTATGCAACTTTCATGTATTGCTATCAATACATGATCGCTGCATAATGTACTATTTTAAATAATCCATTTCCATAAAAAATGTGATTTTCATTACTAGTGTAGGGTCAAGTGGTGTAAAAATGAGACATTTTATGAAACTTTTCATTTTTGAACTGGTATCTTTTTAAAATAAATTTTCAAAAATTGCCATAGTATGAAAATTTTGATGCAGAATAACACAAAAACCAGCAATTCAAGGAAATTATTATGGGTTTTGAGACAAATAATAATACCCTTGTCTCATTTTTACCTGCCACTTTGGGTAAATATGAGATAGTGGGTGGGTAAAAATGAGACATAACAGTTTCAGACATTTATAGTGACAACGATGGTCTGGGGCAATACTAAGACACCCTGGTCGAAAAATGAATCACACATTTATATGGGTCTTCTCAATTTTATTTGAAAAATGCAATAAAAACTTAAAAATAATATTACAGAACACTTTTTGGGTCATTTTTACCCCCTACGCCAAATTTTTAATAGGAACAACGTATGTAAAATACAATTAAAACAACACAAATCAGTGTTCGCAAATTAAACAAAAAATAAATTCACCTCTACGTACATTAAATAAAAAAATAAAAACATTTGTTAACAGTTAATAGGAACTTAAATTGCGCTTTGCATATAAAAACAAAATACAAAATAATTAGTTCACATTATATTTATGAATATCAACCAAAAATACCAACTTTTGTAAAACTCTGGCAGTACCTCCATGAGTTGTGGGAGCAGGTAATTTCATTACAATGTCGTCCTTTCGTACATCATATTTTTCGGGTATTTGGGGGAATATAAATTTTTCACCTTTTCGGCGCAAATAAGATACAGAAAACCCATCTTCTATAACTGATTCTACTAGCGCAACGTAATGTACCTTCTTTTTTTTTGGACCAAACTTTACCAAAATATAGTACCCAATTTTTATTTCCGCTGTTAAATAATTAAATTCCTCGATCTCCTGCTTTTCCATTTCTTCTTCTAATACTTCTTGTAAGGTCATATTTTCAGTGTCGCTTTCTTCTTGATAAGAAATACTTTCAACGTCCGAAGAGGACTCGGCGATTTTTTTCTCTTTCTTTTTTTTGTGGCAATTCTTTTTCCTTGATACTATTTAAATATTGGGAGTTAGTTAAAACAGCACAACCGGAATTAATTTTGCGCCTTCGTTTTATTTCAGGATTTGTTTTGTTGATTTTTTGAAGCAAAATATGCTCAAATGAAGTAGACGAAGACGGTTCAACATTATTATTTTTAAATGAATCAGTTTTGTTACTCTTATCTTCGTTTGGTCTATTTTGCTCAATTTCCGGTTGGCTATTGTTTGCTTCAAGCTCATAATTTTCCTCTTCTTGGTTTATTTGGTATATGTTGAGAGAATAAGAGTTTTGAACACTTTCGTTGTATTTTTGCAGCTTTATTGCATTGAATCGTTCTACTGGATATTTTTCCCTAGAGCAAGGAAAAATATTAGTTGATTCAAAACACTTTTTTATTACGGCCTCTGTAATCCTTTTGGTGAGACGTCTCTGATTTAATCTCTGCCACTCTGTAAGTTTCTGATTCCATTTAAGCTTTAGTGGTCCAAAGCAACACTTGTCTAATGGTTGCAAAATATCTGTGGCGTGAGGTGGTAATTTAAACAAAGTGATATTATTTTGCACGGCAAGCTGTTCCATTTTTTTCTGGCGGATCGAATAGACAACTTACCTTCCTTTACTAAGGTAAGCGCCATTTTTAGGGTCTTCGTCTGTGTACGACTTTTTTTGGGACGTAATTTCTAGGCATTGTGTATTGTAGAACCTATAATGGAAATGGTATATAAATGTCTTATTTTTACCCCATGAAGCGTCTCATATTTACCCAAAGTGGCGTCCTAAATTTACCCCGGCAAAATAACACTTACTCACTCAATGACTCTTAGCAGCAGACTGTCCGGCTCGTTCTCAGTGCACCGGTACACCTCAGTCTTCAAACTGCGACCTTGATCGGGCGCGCCCGATGAATTACCACCGGCTTGGCAACAAAGTTTGTGCGGCAATTTTAAAAGTTTTGGTCATAAAAATTGAGTTGTATTAAATTATTTTTCTATAGATTAATATTGTTGTTTGAATAAATATGCAATTGGGATCTACAATATGTAGACTTTATTACTTCTTGTCTGCATCTCATTCAAATTATTTTTAGCTGTAAAGAAACGACTGTCTCATTTTTACCCAAAATATGTCTTGTCTCATTTTTACACCACTTGACCCTATATTAATTAACTATGAGTATTTAAATCACAAATGATGTGTAAGAATTCAATAATTAATTTGGAATTAGTTACGAAATTGGCATAAGAGGGGTCGTAGAAAAAATGTAGTGTCTCAATCTACTGAAATGAAATAATTTTTAGTCACTGCTGGTAAAACAATACACTTTTTTGTAAGATTTATTAATTTCTTAAATATCATACACGTAGGAAATGAGTGCCATTCCTTTCTCGTTAAACAGTAAATAGTATACTATTCAGTTACAATATGCTTAGCGAATACAATTAATATTATTTACGTCTTCTGTGATAATTAAGGTTATAATTTAAATACATTCACATTCTTTTGTACAAATTTTGAAATTCCGAATATTGTTTATCTTTGTTTTTTCTCTATTGTGTAGTTATAAATTAACAATTTAAGTAATTAATAGATGTTAAAACTTACGTCTAAGATACCTCCCACATGAGGCTCGAACGCTTTAACCTACTTGTCATTGTCCTGTGTCAGTTTGTTCATGTTTTATGTCTACTGTCAAATGTCAAAACTGGTGATAATTGTTGAATCGTTGAAGACGATGTTTGAATTAATAAATCATTTATATTATTAAGTTTAATTAATGTTAAACCTATTAGAGGGCTTTAAGTGGGTTCGGTGCCTTTACCGGCCTTTAACAACTTAATGTATTTCATTATTGATCCCATGTGGAGGGTATCTTAGACGTAGGTTTTAACATCTATTAATATTTAAATGGTTAATTTGTAACGCCTTTTAAGACGGCTTTATTAAGGGCTGAAAATCATATTAATTTAAACATACGTTGAATATCTCTATGCTTTAGTGAAATAATGACAAACATGTTTTAGTTTTCGTTTTTTTCTTTTAATTTTTTTTTTTTCATTTTGTCTTTTAATTTTTTTACATTGTTATCATTATTTCACTAAAGCAAAGAGATACATATTCAATTTCTGTTTGTATTATTATTATTATTATTATTATTAG